ATATATATATATATATGTGTGTGTGTGTGTGTATGTGTGTGTAAAATGGTAGTAAGGATAAGTGTCCTCACTCTTTTGTAAGTAGATCCATCTCGCATCACAACCCTAGTTATGATTTTGTTTTTATTTTTTTAACAAAGTCCCCTTACTAAGTTATATTATTAATTTTTTATGTACCAAAAAAATATATTAGTGTTTTTTTTCTTCTAAAGTAACATGTATTTTTTCACAAACTAAAACACATGAACAGACATATAGTCATATAATATGACACATAATTTTTCTGGTAAAATATAATGAGATAGATGAAATATCATTTAAAATTATATTAATTAACATCAATTTAGTTTTTTATACGCGAAAAGGATATCATTTTAAAAAAATAACATTAATATGTAATCATTTGATAACAGAAAAATAATGTCTCTCAATCATTGAAATTCATTATTAATTTTTATTCTTTAAATTGGACAGTTTAATTATGTTTAAAAGAATGATTTTAATTTCAACTTTTTTAAATTAGGAATTAATTTAATATTACTTTTAAGGACTAATGTATTGTCAATTTCATTTTTTGGACTTACTTGAACTTATATATAAGTAAAATAATTTAATCTCGCATAGATCAAGAAAATTAGTTATATACATTTAATATTTACAATTTCATATATAATATATGCATTAAATTTCCTAAAATATTATTAATCATATTATTGTAAATAATAATATCATCTTAGGAGTGTATTTAAATTAAGAGCATTAAATTAATAAGGTTGATTTTATTAAAATTTGCATATATTTTAGTTTTAAAAAAACTTAAAGATTTTTTATATATATGAGTTTAGTGAAGTACTATATTATGATAAATAAAAATAATTTAAACATTTTTTTCCTATATGTAAGTTTAGGGAAATACTATCTTATAATAAATCAACCAAACTGAACATGAGAATTTTATGAATTAGAATCCTTGGCAATGTATCAATTAAGTCAACTTTAACTTCAAAAAATATACATGAAAACTTCAACATTGAGTAATTATTTCGAAAGTTCAACCTCTTTTTTTTTTTTTTTTTTTTAAAAAAAAAAAAAAAAAAAAAAAACTCTTGAATGACATATAACATACTATCCTATTTTTATTTATAAGACTTATTTTAAATAATTACTTATTCTTTTATATAAGATTCAATTCATGTTATCTCATATATTAATTTTTTTAATTAAAATATTTTTAATTAAAGTGAGTTTTTTTTAATTTAGTAAAATATATTAATTATAAATTTTGTAAAAAAAATGCATTATAATTAGTTAGAAAAAATGAGTATTAATTAGGAGAAAAAAATAATATAGAATATTCATTTTAATTGGTTAAAATATATATGAATATTAATTAACTATACCTATTATAAAGGGAATACATTTAGTAACTATCATTTTGGTCTCCACTTTTTAGTAAACATTTATATCACCCTTGAATGTAAAAAAAATAAAATTCTTATATATTTTATAATTTCTAATATTTGTCCGTGTATAATTATTAGAAGCACGAAGTGCCTCAGCTCCTCTAGTTATTATAAATTAAATTAATTATTTTTTTAAATCTTAGTTAATTAGGTAATTAGAAACAGAAGTAGTAATATAATAAAATTTAGTTCACTATAATTATTAGAGATGGTAAGTTTTTAATTTTTTTTTTTTATACTGTTTTTCAATATAAAACCTTTCTCTATTATATATCATATAATAACATAATGTATGATTAAATTTTAGAAATGATTTTCAAGACTTTGCGGAACTTTGTTTCAAAGAATTTGGAGATAGGGTGAAGCATTGGATTACTTTAAATGAGCCACTCAGTTACAGCCTGTTTGCCTATACACTGGGGATGATGCCACCAAATCGATGCTCTAAATGGTTAAATCCAAATTGCACTGGAGGTGGCTCAGGGAAAGAGCCTT